TTTGTATATCTAAATCTATATATCTATATATCTATCTATATCTATATACACATCTATATCTATATATGTATATATATATATATATACATGTATATATATATATATACTCTGATTGTTGTAGTTGTGTATATGCATGGCTTGTAACTTGATTCGACCGAATATGTACATGTATGCTGAGATATGCACTCTTTTCATTTTCGGTTGGAACAGTTAGTGTGCATGATGTACCTCAAGACACGAATATGCATTATACACAAATTCTGTTAAATCCGTCGCATTTTTGAACTCGTGGCTGCATTCAGCTAGCCAATGCTTGAATACAGGTGCTTATATATCTATTTATAGAAAGATCTAGTATTATAGTTATAGTGCCCAATCCGAGTAACTCTACTTTGCCTTGCGCAGAAAATATACTATTTGCAGAAGGAGTAGATGTTCTTAAGATCAGTGATTTTGGTATGAGTGCTCCGATCACGAAAGGCGATATGATGAAAACAGGTTGTGGAACTATGGCCTATTCCGCGCCCGAAATATTAAAAGGATTAGATTATAATGGACCGAGGGTAAGTTTGATTTTCATTTGTACTAGGGTTTTAGGGTTTTGGGTGCTTTACCTACAGCCGATATATCCATATTGTTTTGTCGTTCGACAGAGATTATAGTAAACCGAGGGGTTAGTTGTTTGTCATTCGTGTCAGTTGGTTGATTTACTATCATATGCCCAGTACATATCGTAGTGCCTGTCTGATCGGATCGTAGCGGACTGATGACATGTTTCTGTTCCTATTTTATTTAATTATTGGGTACGCGGGCTGCCTGGGTGATTCCTCACGTAGTACTTTGTCTCTGCAGATTTCGGGGGGGGGGTTTTTCGGTTGAGGTGTGACCCAATACGTTGTGTTATTATTACTGCTAAGAAACTTACGAGGGACCATCATACGCAACTTCAGCCGTCGTACTATGTTATCTAACAAAACATGTCAATGTATCTATTCTCTATATACTATAGGTGGATGTATGGAGTTTAGGCGTGACTCTATACTACATGGTTTGTGGGCGGTTACCGTTTGACAACCCGTCACCCACTGAGAACGTCACAGACATCATCGAGGGCAACTTCGAACTCGATCACTTAAACCACCCCACCAGAAAGAATCAGACCATCAAACTTAGCAAGAAGCTGAAGGATCTCATAAAGTCCATGTTGACTGTGGACCAGGTATGTTAAATGGCACTATACATATATATATATATATATGTGTGTGTGTATGTGTATGCGTGTGTGTGTATATACATATACATATACATATATATCATATATATAACATATACATATACATATACATATACATATACATTAAGAGCTCAAGCTGAATCGCCGATTATACGTTGCGCAATCTTTGCTTGCAGAGCCCCAGTCTACCAATACCGTCAGCTTGTTACAATTAATATCCTCTACGGTGTGTGACACTTTGTACGACTTGTGCCGATTGTCCTACTGATACCACTAGTACTTGAGTGTGCAGATATTTCTAAGTAGTACCAAATACCATTGACTTTCAAGCGTAGCGAATAATAATTGGGTTACCGAGTAGCAAGCCATTAGCGCTGGGAAGATAAAGATGCCCGGGATCGGATGAAAAACACTTGAACTAAATCTGATTCGTTCGACTCTACTGATATCCCAGATCTAAACATTAGTGGGACATTGAGTACATACACAGAAGCATCCATGTTACATACATGTTCTGAATCGGGGTTTTTTTTCTTTCGGTTTTCGGGTTTTTTTTTTGCAAAATATAGAACCTCAGATCCACCATGGACGACATAGTTGAGCATCCGTGGCTAGACAATAAATTTAAAAAGTACTATCAAGAAAAGGGGCTGTCGAGTCTCAAACTGACCCCGGAGGAGGACATTGCCGTTAAAAAGGATGTGAGCGCATTAGGTATGTGTACGTGGTTGTGTGGTATATGTGTACGTGGTTGTGTGATGTATGTACACGTGGTTGTGTAGTGTATGTATACGTGGTTGTGTGGTGTATGTGTACGTGGTTGTGTAGTGTATGCATACGTGGTTGTGTGGTGTATGTGTACATGGTTGTGTGGTGTATGTAT